GCCCGTGAGTGCGGCCTGCGAGCGGCAGCCGGGCGCCCCTTCCCCAGCCCCAGCCCCGTCCCGTCCCGTCCCGCTCCTTCCCGGCAGGAGCGTCCTGCTGTGCCCAGGCTCGCGCCCCGCCCGCGCACTGTCCCTGCCCAGCCCCAGCCCTGCGCACATCCAAGCAGGTGGGGCACACGAGCCCCTTCATCCTCGCACCCGGCCTCGTTCGGGGGCAGCTCTTGCTGCCCTGTCTGAGCTTCAGGGCATAAGGACTGTCATTGTAATAACTTACTGTCATAACTGTCAGGAACATCTTGGTGCAGCTTTAAATTGAGCATTTTCTGATACCAAATAACTTCACTATCTTTTCTCCCCTATACACAGCCCTAAACGGTTTGGCAGAAAATATGATTCTAGATGGATATTCTCTACCAAGTGACGTAGGTCTTCATCAGGTTATTGTACTGCCCAAAGCGGAATGGGAAAGGATTCAGGACAGCCTGGGCAGCACGGCCAGGGAAGCCGCACGTGTCCTTGCCGAGCGGAGGGCGCGCACGGAGATGCACTTGCGCTCCAAGGCGGCCGTGAAGGACTGGCCCAACACCATCATGGTACGTACTGCACGCAGGGGTGAGCTCGGCCCCCTCAAATCTTTTAAAATGTTTTTTTAAATTAAAAAAAAAAGTGGATATAATCTTCAAAATATTTTATACATTTTTAATCTGCAGTTTTTAAGCATGATCTACAAAAATAATAAAAAAAAAATGTATCTGCATTGTGCATTGTAGGGCCTGGCACAAAGGAAACTTAAAGCCAAAAACCTCAGTAAAGAAAGGAAAGAGGAAGAGAAAAGGTTAATAGATTTGGAAGAAGCACAGTTCCAAGCAGCAAAACGAAAAGAGGCTATTGATCAAGCAAGAACCTATCAATACTACAGGAATGAAAGAGTGAAAGGGTTTCATGTCTGTTGGCAACTTATTAATTTAAAATTTTATTGAATTTCTTAGAGCTTCTGAACATGCAAATCATGTGAAATCTTCTTTTGTAGAGTGCACTTCTACTTACTGAGGTTCTAAAAGAGAGAGATGCTCAAGTTGAATTTAAAAAGTTAAAGCAAGATATTAATAAAAAGAAGGAAGAAGAAATGGAACACGCACGTAACAAAGCTGTTCTCAGAGAGGAGGAGAAGGCACGTTCATGTGAACATTACATGAAACAAAAGGCACTTCGCAGAGATCAGCTGGAACAGTAAGTAATAATCAAAAGCAACTGTTTTATTCTTTATATAAATTGTCTTCTCATAAATATGTTCTATAAAGCTTTTAGAGAAACCTGCTAATTGTTTGGACCAAAAATGCAGTACAAACGCAGGTGTTTACACGACAGGCCCAGGAGATTTCATAGATTAAATCAAATTCCCTGGTGCAAAGGAAAGGCTCAAAGCCTAATCTGACATATTCCAGGTCTAATGTATGAACCACTGCAGAACTTAGCACAAAACATCACCAGCTTAGGCCCTTGCCTGCATGTGCATGAGGGAAAACATAGATTCCATAGCACTTACTGGGAGAATCCTAATTGTTCAAACTGCTGCAGAGCTAAGCCACAATATAATTAGTTGTTTTAGTGGGTCATCCAGATAGGAAGAAACATGTTTTACCAGTAGACTGCAATCTAATTGTGCAGCTAAGTTCTAAACGGAAAATGTGAGACTAACTTCAAAACTATTATGTTAATTTTATTTCTAACAGTCTATAACCGTCTCCGTTGCAAAGTGCACATTGTTTGGTGTTGAGGTACCTTTAGGCAGGCAAGATCTTTGTCTTTTCACTTCTTTATGAGTCCTCAGCACATTTCTTCAGCTCCCTCCTCTGTTTCAGGATAAAGGAACATGAGCATCAGGCAGAACTAGCCAAGCTAGCAGACAAAAGAGAAGGGGAAGAAATTCAGAGACTGACGCGGTTGTACCAACTGGAAATTCAGAAAGAAAAGGAAAAGGAGCAGGCGGAAAAACTTGAGCGTCGGAGGCTGCATCACGTAAGTAGCAGGAAAGCAGAGAGCTCAGGCCGGGCTTTGCCCTGGAGGCGGGGAATGAAGGTGCAGAGGCCTGAGGGCAGCAGGAGGCATCGTGAGCTCCTGTCTGTGCCCTGGCAGCTGCAGCCTCCCCTTCCCGCTGCTGGGAGCCAGGTCTCTTGGGGAGCTCCCTCCTGCAAGTGACGTCCTGGTGCCTGAGCCTCGCCCAGCCAGGCTGGCACCGTCTGCGTGGGCATCAAGGAGTGTCCTCCTTGGCTTCACGCCTGGACTTGGGTCCCATGTCGTGTTCCGTTTTGAGCCCATTTTTCTTTGCTTGGAGGAAAGAATAATCTGTGCCAGTGAAAATGACAGCATCTTTTCAACTTGTTTTCCCTTTATGACCAGCAATGTTTAGGAAACTGAGCAAGACCTGCTGCTGTCCCTCTTCACTTTCACAGGTACCTTGCCACAGCTGAAGCAGCAACATCTTGGTTGAGCAAACAATTTTGACTGGTACATGAAAGATGGTACTTTTCCCATGAAACTCTAGAACAGCCATCTTCAGCTAGTATAGGCACTAAGTTATTAGACTGGGAAAGGTTTGGATGAGGTGGACCATAAGAAACACATTGTGTGTGCTGGTGGGGACTGTATATTTCCATTCTTCTCAACTCCACCCCTCCTGCTTGTAAGCAAATGGAAGTGAGGAATAATCCCCCTAACACTGTGTAACATCACAGCGTTACCCCACACTGCTGCATGAAAGAGTGTCCTTGGGGTCTCCTCTCCTCACATCTACTGTTCCTCTCATGTTTGAAGAGGGATTATTCCTCAGTGTCCAAACTTCCTCTGTCTTTGTCCCTGTGCATATCACTGTATGTAGCATGCTGAGGAAGTGGCTGTGTTCAGTGCTCACTTCTCCTCCTTTTTTCCTTTGTGCTACTATCTCCCTTTCACGCATGCTTGGACAGGGAAGTAGAAGTAAGTGCAGGTACTGAGAATCCCTTCTCTTCTTTGAAAGAAAGATGGATAGAATTGTGAATGGTTCCTTCTAAATTGATACTCAAGGCTCAGATTTCCTAAACTGCATATGTTACAAATACATCAGGACCTTTTTGTCTATGCAGGAACATGTAGCTGACCAGAAAATAATCAAAGCAGCACAGGAACAAAAACAACAGGAGGAAGATGATCGGATTAGAGCTCATTTCAAAGCAAAGCAAATTATTGCCAAGATGAGAAGAGAAAAAGAAGATGAAATGCACAGGTGGGTACAAAACTAGATCACAATTTAGAAGGAGACTGTAATCATATTCAATTCTTTGAGACTGATGCTGCAACACAAACCACAGTTATTCTACAAATAAATCCTGCTAAAGATAGGGAAATCAGAAGAAAAAAGAAAAGATTTCTTTCTTAACTTCAGTAACAAGTTGGGGGGCTGGAGAGATTCCCTCCTCAAGCAAAGCATCAAGAGTTGCAGAAGTGCAAAGCTGTACACCTGTGTGTTGGGAGTAGTGATTTTCTGCACAGCCTGCAAAACCTGCAGTCCCCAGCAACTGAAGACAATTAGGATCCAGGCAGAAAGCAGTTTTGGATCATGAGCTGTATTTCCCCAAGGCAGAACAAGGGAAAGACTAACTTCTTAACTGGACACCTGTATTAATTACATTGGGTAATGTACTAGTAAGGTAATAGTAAGGAAATATGGTTTATTTATTTAACTGTGAGAATATGGCATAAAGACACCACTGACCTAATGTAGTAACTTCCTTCTCTTACATCTTTTCATCAAGTATTCCCAACAGCTCTTTCTCATGGCAAGATGATAAGTGGACTCCTCTCTGAGCGATATAGCTTATAACTGCAACAAAAAGCTGTTTTGACAAAACTAGACAACAATTATGTGCCAAAACAGGTATTTTAAAATAACAGAAGTGAAGGAATACAAGGGAGTCAAGGAGTTGGGCAGGTGGGCCTGTACAACAAGCAGAGAGGAGAGTGGATGCAGCATGGGTTTTCTGGGAGCAGGAAAGCCCCAGACAGGGGGGCTCAGGACAGGCCAGAGGGGGTACCCTTGTATGTTATGACAGTTGATGTTACTGCAGGCTAATGCAGGAGCATCAGGACACCATTGTTAACCGACTAGCTGCACAGATGAATGAGGCATTTAAGATGGAAGATGATCGTATTGCTAGAGATATTGGAAAAAAAGAAGCGAAACAAGAACAAGAATGCAAAGACAAAGAAGAAAAAAAAAAGGCTGACATTGAATCTATTGCTGAACACAGAGCTACTGTGGTAAGAAACCTGGAGAGGGAGGGGAAGAATACACTGTGGTATAGCCTAAATTCTCAGTATCTTTAAGAGATACCACAGTTTTTAGCGTCTACTTCTTAGTCTTCATGGAGACAGAGAGACATATACTCATTTTTTTTTGAGTATATAACTTAAGAGCCACCTATCACATTTACCAGGTATAGGGTTAAGGGTTAACTGCTTGAGCAGTGTACAAGGAGTATATGTGAGGATACTTTCTCCAGAGAGCAGAGGTGGAAGGCTCTATAATCACTAGTAATTTCTGTGAACACTTTCCATACTGTAGCTCTGCTTATCAGCACGCATCATCTGCCATCTCTCCTGTAGTCTCCTCTCCCACCACATGTTAGCGCTTATCTACCAGCTCTGCTGAAAACCCTGGCCTTGGGCACTGGCAGCCCCAGTGACCATGCTCATTACAGCTCTGAAATGGGAGTTCTTTTGTGGAAAGACATGACTTTCAACTTAGCTGGCTAGCTACTTGGTTAACTTTGAGTATTTTATAAAACATAGATGAGGATGAAAGCAGAAAGGAAGAAAGAGGAGAAAGCAGAGGGTAAAAAAGAACTTTATGAGTTAATGGAGGCAGATCGCATCTATCTGGAAATGGAAGGAGCCAAGAAACAGAGACGTCGTTATGAAAATATGGAAGTCCAGAAAATACACATCCAGCAAATGGTAAATACAAGTGCTGTACTCTAAGGCCCCTGTAAACCACCAACAGGACGAGATCCTGGCAGAGAAAGAGGGGGAGCTCTTTGTTGTTGATTGTTTTGCCTGCTTGCTTAAGCAGTGCTGGTGCTGGGGACCAGCCTCCTCTTGGAGCAGGGGAACATTTTTCTTTGAGACGGTCTCTGAGGACCACATTGGTCCAAGAGGATTTCCTGAAAGAGCTGGCAGGAGAGAGATCAGTACTTTCCAAACACAACTTGAAGAAACACCAATCTAGGATTCACATCCCATTTCTGCACCTGAGCTTCCTTTGTGCTCAGGACCCCACTGCTACAATCCATCAGGGGCTGGACTGGTGATCTCCAGAGGTGCCTTCCAACCTCAGCCGTTCTGCGATCCCCACTGGGGGCCACTACTACAAGGCCCTTCCTCTGGAGAAGTGCAGCTCCAAGCTGAGTGGAGTGTGCAGCTCCACGCTGACCTGCACTCATGGGCCTCAGTCTGCCCTGTGTCACTGCCACTTACTGCTGCCACTTGGTACCTTCTGGGCCAAAGAGCAGCTGCTAATGTTGACCTTCACCAAAGTATTACTTTTTTTTTTTTTTTTTTTGATAAGTATTAATTAATTCACAAAAGTTTAGATCTCCTGTAAATTCATCCTTTGCAAGTTTTAAAAGATAGTTATGGTATATCCGTGCTATAACTGTATTAAAGAAAACTGTATTAAGGAAAAACCAACCCTTGCAGTTCCCTTTTCTTCACTAGGCTGAAAAGCAGGCAAGAAGACAGCAGGAAAAACAAGCAGACTTGGACTACGATGCTCAGAGAGAGATTATTGCACTTTTTAAAGAGCAAGAATTCCAGAACTATGCAAAACAAGTAATTGAATTGGAGTCCAAAACTACGCATAATCTTTATCCTCTTCTTAAAGCATCCAAAGAAGGAACAGGATTTGTATATGGGCCACTTTCTAGAGGAAATGGATCTAGTTATCAAGCACAGGACACTGATGGGACTCAGTTACCTTGTATCTGTACTGCAACTCAAGAAGTAGAAACATGAAATAACATTGAGACTATCCAGCAAGGAAGCCGAAATACAGTTTTCATGTGGTAAATATAATAGACTCAATGTCCTTTTTAATTTTATGCAAAGAATTAAAACTATAAGGGATCCTTATTGAATATATGCTATGAAATGGGAAGCCCATTTGAAAAAAAAATGCCAGAGTTAACTACAGTTTCGAAAATCACCAGCTTGTGTACTTTTTGAAAGTTATTTTGTTAAATTACTGTTAAATTAGCTGTGAGATACATAATTCATCTCTGTATAACACAGTCCATCCAACTTTTCTTTTTTTCTCTCATCTCTCATAGGTTTTCATTATTTATTATTCTAAAAATTTATTGAAAAGGTGCCCTAGACTTTCCAGGCCTACCACACATAACCCAACATAACCCAAATTCCCAATGAAGGATGGGCAGGGAATTCTCTTCCAGCTGCACTCAAATAATGCCGGTCTACTTTGAAACCCTTTTGGTCTTAGCTGCTGTATCCATCATTCAGCCAGTGGAATGGCATGTTGTTATCAAGACACAATGTCCATTGTTCTCTGCATAGATGCTACTCACTTCTTTCATTAGCCTTTTTCCAGTTAGACATTCCCAGTAAAGAAACTTTACACTCTACAGAAGAAGGCCCAGCCAAATACCTTCTAAAGTTGTAAGACTTATGCTCCTGCTATTCTTATAGTAGCTAACTCTGTAAAACAAGTATCGTGTATATAACAAGTATCACAACAATAGGCCACTGCATAATCAAGTGGTATTATTTGCAAAGATAAATGTGATTTTATCACAGCTAATCAAAGGTGTTACTTACCAGGAAAAAAAAAAAAAAAAAAAGAAAAAGCCCCAATACAGCTGTGATTAACTACTACAAAAAAAAGCATGGCAACAGGAGACAGCAAACTGGGACTGTTCTTTCAAGAACAAAAACAGTCATTCAGTAAAACAGATCCAGATCTAAAACTGCTTCCCAGATCTCTGCAGCCAGCAGGGAACATCTAGCCTTATTCTTCAACATCAAAATCACTTTACTCCTTAAAACTTGGTTTCTTTGCTGAAATGTTCCCGTCACGTTCCTGCACTGGACAGGATTAGAGCTTCACGCAGTGACTTACTTCAGCAAACACCCTGGGCTACAGGCAGCGCATCCCCCCTTCGGGGACAGACCTACCGCTTTCCCAGCGCAGTAACCGCCCCCCCGGGGAGTCTCGGTGGGCCTGGACAGAGGGAGAACTTGTGTGAACCCCGACCTGGTCACTCAGCGCCGCCTGAACCCGGGCGCAGCAGCGCGGGCCTCGCTCCGGCTCGGCTGGCGCTGCGCAGGCCGGGGGCTCCCGCGGGGCGGCCCGGGCAGCCCCGAGCGGGGCCGGGGCGGAGGGGCGGCTCCCCGCGCCGGCCGCAGCGCCCAACGGCCGCGCCCAACGGCCGCCATTCGGCGGGAAGGGGCGGGCCCGGCGGCGGAGGCGCTGTCGCAGGCGGGATGGAGGCCGAGCAGCGGGAGGCCGCCCGCCGCCGCGGGCAGCTGCCGCAGCAGCAGGGCGAGGAGCAGGCGGAGAAGCGGGAGCGCGACGCAGCCCGCCGGGCCCTGGCCCAGGCGCAGCTGGCGCAGTGAGTAACGCGGCCCCCGGCAGCCCGCGGAGCCCCCGCGGCGGCGGAGGCCGCAGCGGCCGCCAGGGCAGCGCCCGGGCGCGTGACCCGCTTCCCTCCGCGCCCCGTCGCGAGCCACGCGCGGCTCGCAGCCCCGGACAGGCCCCGGTGACCGCAACGGGACGGGGGTGCCGCCGCCTCCTGCTGCCCTGCCCCGTGTCACCCCCCGGGCCGCGGCCGCCCCGTGCCCTCTGCCCGGGCCTTGGCACCACGGGGCAAGATTAGAGCTTCACGGGGATGCTGCCCAGGCGGCACAGGCGGCCGGCGCGCACCCAGGCAGGGCACCTGAGGTTCAAGTGCATCCGCTGGTCCTGTCTGCTGCTGCCAGTGTGCGCTTAGAGAGCAGAATCCTGAGTATTTCTGCCTCGAGCTAGACTTGAGCTTTGGGCTTGGGACGTGAGGCAACCTTTAAAAATTATGATTTGTTTTTAATCTCTTAACAGTCTGTAAGCACCGCCGTTGCAAAGTGCAGATTGTTTGGTGCTGAGGTACCTTTAGGCAGGCAAGATCTTTGTCTTTTCACTTCTTTATGAGTCCTCAGCACATTTCTTCAGCTCCCTCCTCTGTCTCAGGATAAAGGAACATGAGCATCAGGCAGAACTAGCCAAGCTAGCAGACAAAAGAGAAGGGGAAGAAATTCAGAGACTGACCCGGTTGTACCAACTGGAAATTCAGAAAGAAAAGGAAAAGGAGCAGGCGGAAAAACTTGAGCGTCGGAGGCTGCATCACGTAAGTAGCAGGAAAGCAGAGAGCTCAGGCCGGGCTTTGCGCTGGCGGCGGGGAATGAAGGTGCAGAGGCCTGAGGGCAGCAGGAGGCATCGTGAGCTCCTGTCTGTGCCCTGGCAGCTGCAGCCTCCCCTTCCCGCTGCTGGGAGCCAGGTCTCTTGGGGAGCTCCCTCCTGCCGCGGTGACATCCTGGTGCCTGAGCCTCGCCCAGCCAGGCTGGCACCGTCTGCGTGGGCATCAAGGAGTGTCCTCCTTGGCTTCACGCCTGGACTTGGGTCCCATGTCGTGTTCCGTTTTGAGCCCATTTTTCTTTGCTTGGAGGAAAGAATAACCTGTGCCAGTGAAAATGGCAGCATCTTTTCAACTTGTTTTCCCTCTGCGATCAGCGATGGGTAGGACATGGACGGACCTCCCATAGCTGCTGTTTCCCCTCTGTGAGGGCTTGAACAGGGAGGGCTAAACCGAAGGGCCTCTGACTCACTCGTGTGGGAGAATAAGAGCAGAAAAGTTCCAGTGGTACCTGCAGGATTTTCCTTTTCCCCATACATACTCTGTGTGTAATTATACAAATTTTACTGCATTTGTCTTCAGTCTTTTATCTTTGATAAAAGCAATATATCCTTATAGTTGCCTTGCTGGGTGATTACAAAATTCTTGTGGCTTATATTTTTATCATTCTGCAGAGGTTATTTTTGTGTCCTTTGGGACTTGTAGCATCCTGATGATACATAGGATGGGGGAAGTCAAGATAGAAGCAGGGGGGAGGCAGACGAAAGAATATAACTTGCACATACAGTGCCCGAGGTCACCACCAGATTGTTGCAAGTGAATATTCATTTCTGGAACAGTTTGTGGCAATTTATGACAACTCTTGCCCTGGTTTGTTGTCTGCACCTCCTCATCCACAGCTAGAAATAAAGAACTGTAATTATAATAGACAAGGCCTCTAAAATGTTTGTATTTTCATTTGGTATTTCCAAAATCTCATCTTGTATAAAAATAAAAGTATCTTTAAACAGGAGCATATTGATAAACAGAAAATAATGAAAGCTGAAGAGGAACAAAAGGAAGCAGAAGAAGATGATCGGATTAGGGCATACATTAAAGGAAAAGAGATGATGGCAGATCTAAGAAAAGAAAAAGATGATGAGACTGCTAGGTGAGTCCAGGACTTGAGTTTTAAGTTTAACCTTCAAAAATAATAATTTGTATATGTACATATAAAAACATATATTCAAACATAATGTGACAGAGTATTCAGCATTCTGAATTCAGCAAAATCAAATCTGTGTGATATAATTGAGTCTTTCTGTAATTAAAACTTTGAGGGGAGAAAAAAGTAAAGTTCAGAAGAAATGCCTATAAGGATTTTTTTAGCCTCAGCTTCTGCAGTACTTGATGCTTTGCCAGGAGGCAGTTTCTCTACTCTTGCTCTGCTCTCTCAGCCTGACTTGTTAACTGAGCACCTATATTAATTTCCCTCATTTAACTCATTTAGCAGTATATATGGTATTGTTAGCACTGAGTGTGGTGTTGCTGAGCTAATCCAGCAGCTCCCTTCTCTTCCTATTTCTGGTGAAGGATTCTGACCATTTCTTTCCTAGTGGCAAGATCCTAGGTCTCCTCCATGAGCGATCCAGCTCCTTATTCCAAGAAAAAGCTAGCTGGACAAATGATCCAGAGTACTTCTCTGCCATGTTAGAACAGAAAGCCCTGTTCCCCAGCAAGAGGAGCACATGGGTCATGGGTGGGTTAGCAAGCTTGTGTGGCAAGAGAAATGGAAGGAACACCCTAAGGAGGAAGATACCCTGGTATCTTATAATACCTTATGCTTTCCTTCAGACTATTGCAGGAACATCAAGACAAGGCTGTTAAGCAGTTAACGGCACAAATGAAGGAGGCAGTAAAGATGGAGGACGATCGTGTTGCTAAAGGAGCTGCAGATATGGAAGAAGAATACCAAAAGAAAAATAAAGCAGCAGCAGCAAAAACTAGGGCTGACATTGAATCTATTTCTGAACATAGAGCTTCCACGGTAAGAAACTAACCTGTTCTTATTCCTTTTTCTGTTGTATATTCAGTCTTTTGAATATTTGTGAGAAACACTATTTTAAAAAAGAAATATTAACAACCACCTCATTAAAGACCAAGTGGACTTGCATGCACACTTCATATTTACCACATCTAGGTTTAGGATTAACTGTTTGAGTAACGTGCAAGCCATGTATGTGATGATACTTTCTCCAGAGGTTAGAAGTGGAGGGCTCTATAGTCATTGTTAATTTGTGTGAACATTTTCCATACTTTGCACTGCCTATTCCAAACAAGGAACCTGGCCCAGGTTGCAGGTGGTGGGACTGCTGTCATCCATCAGCAGGCTTCACCAGGACATTGGCCGACTTTTCGGTGGCCTCCTGTCCCTCTCCTACCATATACTAGGTGCTTATCTGCCAGCTCTGCTGAAAACCCGGGCCTTGGGCACTGGCAGCTGCAGGACCATGGTCATCACAGCTCTGAATCAAGGGTTCAGAGCTAAGGGTTCACTATCAGTATCATCTTCAGTTTATAGAATAGCTGGTTGAAAAATATGACTCTCAAATGTAACTGGTTAACTATTTGGCTAACTTTCTCTGTGTGAAATATAGATGAAAATGAAAGTGGAAAGGGAGAAAGAAGAAAAAGCAGAAACTGAGAAAGATTATAATCAATGGATGGCAGCAGATCGCATCTACCTGGAAATGGAAGAAGCCAAGAAGCAAAAACGTCATGAAGAAAATATGGAAGTCCAGAAATTTCGGGTCCAGCAAATGGTAAACATAAGTGCTGTACTCTATAATCCACTTTAGAAAGAAGTATAAAAAGAGATCAGTGCTTTCCAAACACAACTTGAAGAAACACCAATCTAGGATTCACATCCCATTTCTGCACCTGAGCTTCCTTTGTGCTCAGGACCCCACTGCTACAATCCATCAGGGGCTGGACTGGTGATCTCCAGAGGTGCCTTCCAACCTCAGCCGTTCTGCGATCCCCACTGGGGGCCACTACTACAAGGCCCTTCCTCTGGAGAAGTGCAGCTCCAAGCTGAGTAGAGTGTGCAGCTCCACGCTGACCTGCACTCATGGGCCTCAGTCTGCCCTGTGTCACTGCCACTTACTGCTGCCACCTGGTACCTTCTGGGCCAAAGAGCAGCTGCTAATGTTGACCTTCACCAAAGTAGTACATTTAGAAAAGAAGAAAGCTTATAAACCGATTCACAAACTGTAAGCTTATCCTCTAAGTTTTAATGGGTAATTATACTGTGAAGGAAATACCAACCCTTGCTGTTCCCTTTTCTTCACCAGGCTGAAAAGCAGGCAAGGAAACAGCAGGAAAAACAAGCAGACTTGGACTATGATGCTCAGAGAGAAGCTGCCTTTTCTAAGGAGCGAGAATTTCAAAGATAAGGACAGTAAGTAATTGAAGCTGTTAAGACTTGCCCATGACTTTTATACTTCTGTCCAAGTATTCAAGATAGGAAGAAGAGGTGGGCATGGGCTTCCTATCTGGGTTTCATTCCTCCTTTTCTTCTTTAATTCAATACAGAAAATAGCCAGGGGTCAGGTACCTTGTAGCTGTAATACTGCTTGAGAAACAAACCGCTGACCAAAACAGTAGCAGTGACCTTTCCTTTCTGAGGGGGAAAAAAGTCAGAACTAATTTGCATGTGCCTTAAAGCAAAGAAAACCTCACCCATCCCTGCCATGGGCCTGGCTGCTGGGCTGGTTTTGGACAGCAGGAGATGGCTGATGGCGGGTGGAGCAGAGTCCGGAGTAGCTGTCTTTGGTGCAAGGGCTGAATGCCCATCAGTGGCTGGAGCACGTTCTCCTTGTCCTCCTTTGAAGCTTCATCTGAAACAGTCCAGTTCGCCCCCTGTGAAACCACCCTGCAAGGCCAATTGAAGCACAGTAAGTGGGAACAATGGAGTTCGTAACAATGCAGTTTCAAAAACTAACTTACCATCAAACTAGAATACTAGCATTACTGTACTATCAACTAAGAGCCATGGAGATCTCTCTACAATTATCTTGGAGTAATTCACTTGGAAATGATTTTTTTTTTTAGTAGAGGAATGGCAATTAGCTTGTAACATTCTTTCTAAATACTTTTTTCTTAATTCACTAAGAAAAATTTATTTGCCTTCTCTTTGAGCCAGTGCTCCTTTTACTACTTCAAGCTTTTTACAGCAAGCAGAAAGAATGGAAACTTTTATTAAAGGCTTTTTATGGCAGAAGCTGGAGCCTTGAGAAGAAGCAATGACTACTGCAAGCATCATGCCGAATGCCCCAGAGCTTGATAACGCTCCAAAAGCATTCCCAAGTGCACATTTGCACAAGCTCACTATTGTGCAATTGGTGAGTTAAATGGATTATGGTCTACCCCCACAGCAGCCAGAAGCAAGGTGGATTTTACAGCCTCAGTTTCTACTTGGCTTCAGAAGCAGTCTGTTTCCTAGGCTATGTCTGCTTGCACTTCGGTGCTACAGCTTGCTTCCAGGGGGAGTATGCCCTCTTACCTGCAGCAGCTACAAAAATACCCAACTTGCACCAGGAAAAAGACTTCCTTATAGTATACCTAGAGTCAAGGAGAAATGCTGTGCAATTAACAAAATTCAATATTCAGAGGAATGAAGTAGTGACCTGTAGCGATTCATACAATTTTGAGAGCTTGATCTACTAAATTCAAAGCTGCACATAGTTTGTGTGCTTACTTTAAATGGATCGCTAACTATGGTTGGCCCAAACACAAATACAAACAGACAAGGAAACACCAAAGTAGTAATTCTTTTTCTATATAGATGTGAAGGACCATGAGGGAGGTAGTACAGCATCAGATAAGATTGTCCCAAGAGGTGGCAGAACTGCAGAGGCTCAAGATGTCACATTCAAGGCAGGAGGTTGGTCTGGGTGACCTTCCAGCTACTCTGTCCCTTTATGAAAGCAAGCATAAAAATGCCCAAGTACATGGAGTTCACATGCAGCTGACAGTGGTAGAAAGGAAAGCTGCAGAATGAGAGTTCTACCGTAGTGTCACTAGGTGAATTACTATTAGCTAAAGTTTCATGTAAGAGCTAGGAAATTCAAGTACATTGATATATATGTCTATATAAATAAGACAGACCTGCCCTTTGTTCTGTGAAATTGATCCAGGAGTGGGCAACAAGGCAGAGCTGCTCGATACAGTCCTGTGTGGTGGTGGTGTGTACATAAGTGCTGTAAAAGTCAGCACAAGGCCCAACAACATCTAGCATTAAAACTTTTTTAACAGTAATTACCCTCAAGCGAGTACCACTTCATCTGACTCATTTTCTTCTTTCTGTATACGAAAAGGAACAGGTTTGAGAGCAACATCCTGTCCTACAAGAAGTGGACAGTAGTTACAGAACAGACCAGAGACAGGATCAAAAGTTTAAGTCACCCAACATCTAGAAAATACAAATTCAGCCACTGGTGGCATGGGGGGGGGGAGCAAAAAAAAAGGAGGGGACCTTAATACTCTATTTGGTAGAGCTCACAGTAATATTACTGTTGTGAGATGTGTCCTCTGCCTCTTGTAATCCATCAGTGTGGATCCATCCATCCACACTGATCCATTACAATTCACAGGAGTAGATCTGTTAATTACAGATCATGCAGTAAGACCTAATCTGTTTCCTTCTTCAGAAGCAAAATTTAAACGACATCTGGCAACCTGTAGGAGCCTGCAAGCCACCAGTGCCTAACAGCTGAAGCCTCCTCTGGAACACAGGAGTTGTGATGTCCACCAGAAGTTGCCTGTACTCTGTTTCAGCTCAGGAAACAAGTGCTATAGCCGTAACACGCAGCTGCTTTGCAAGAAGCAAGTGCACCTCTAATTACTCTAGCTTAATTATAGAACAAAACAGTAGATGCACTTTCTAGGAAGACCACAGGTGACAACCAAAGGTAAACTGAAAACATGTATATTGTCATTTGTACTATATTCTTCAATACTCAGCATCTCTGGGCCTGAAGGCTTATTGAAAACTTGCTTTGGCTTCAAACGATATTACTATGAAAATAAAACTGAATAAGCTCTTTAAAAGCAGCCATTCATGAGAGTAAGTGTACTTATTTTTGACAGTTTTCCACTTTTTTTACAAGGGAGAATGCTATAAAAGACATGAATACCCACACGAGGAAGCTGCGGCACTGGTTGTAGGAGCTAATCCCGTATGTGCAGCACGACTCTACCCATGTCACACTCAAACTTTCTACGGTGATGGGGAGGGGAGAGCACACAAGCAAGCAGCCACACCTTTGTGCTTGTTCCTGCTTCCTGCTGTGGTCCAAGTCAGAATGAGAGACTGGTTTACATGACTTTGAATCCTAACTTGTCCCAAGTAGCCTGCAAACTGTCCTACCCTTAGTTCTGAGTCCGTGTCCTCAAATAGGTAACTCTTCAAGTAGCTTTTGAAAACTACTTGGCTTTGGGCAAAAAAGAGCAGGCTCTTATATTTGCCTTGTGCAAGTACAAGATCAAAGTTGGAACTGGTGGAAAACAGTGTCCTTTATCACGGTCAGCAGCTTTATTAGAGCTGCATTTCTATGCACACTACACTGAATGAAGAGCTCCTATTACTCATCCATCACTCCAGACCTACTGCAGGAAGCACACGCGTGCAGACATACGGAGTACACTAACGAATATGGAAAAAGCATTTATTTCTGAAAAGTGTTTTAATACATAAATTGTACATTTTATAATCGAGAAACTTGCATTCTCCCTCTTCAGAACTGGGCCAGCTTCCCAGTTGAGTACTACAGATTACAAAGTGTCCAGAAGACTCAGATTTTCCAAATACTTCACTGAATTCTAGTTTCTTAATACAAACAGCACTACTATTATAATTAATGACAATTCTCCTAGCCAGTTCCTCTAACAACTGATCACAAATTGAGGCCTAAGTTCTTTCTAATGCTCCAAGTACTGTACTGCTCATGTACAGTATCAAAAAAAAAGAAAACAACAAAGTTAACAACTACCACTAAACAACACACTGAGTACTCCTGTATACATTTACAGGGATATGTACAGGGTATGTAAAAATGATTATCTGCCTGCTAAAACCAGCAAGTTTCCTTACAACTGCTCTGTATGTTGCAAAATTTCAGTGCAAAGTCAGTGATGATACCATATTACTTCACAATTCATTTAGCCTACATTCAGTGTCTTAAGAGTTTCAATGAATGAACGTTTACAAAAACACTTAAAACCAATGAGCTGCAGTCAAGCACAGTCAGCAGTTTAAAATTTGTCTTCTGAACATGCCCACAATAACTGTCTTCCTAGTTTCGTACGAACAATGACTTTATGATAAAGAATATTACAGTTCAGTTCTTTCTCCGCACTTGCCTTTACCTTTACGGAGTTTTATTATGTGAACACTTAATTATATTTTGTCACACCTCCTCCTTTTGTAAAACTTCATACTAAGATTAGAAAACATTTTTGGTATCATAGCTTTTTAAAAATGTATGTATAGAACTTTATGCTTTTATTATGGAGCACAAGTTTTGTCAGTACACCATTTTTCCAGGGTAAGAAATAAGAATTACACTAAGAGTACATACAAAACAAACTGGAAAACTCGAGTTTTCTTGCTAGGAAAATGCAGAATTATACTGCATGAAAATTTCACAGATTGCAAAGTTTGAACATTTTGCAATATGCATTTTCTTGAATAATGTAGTGGAATACTCTATTAGGAAAATTACTCTTTTTGCAGAAGACGTAGAAAGTATGTAACTATGTTTCCAACACAGGGACTCCAGAAACATGAAGATAAACTTTGACACTAGTCCCCTTCTGTAAGTTGACTGTAAAAATTAATTCATGGCTGAGGACAAACAATCCTAGAACTTTTTTAAACAAAGCCATTCTTCATGTATTTGAGAAAAAACGGGGATGATTTCAAGTGAGGCCTGTAATAAAGCAGAGTACGTTTATCCTGGAGGTTTTCTAATCTAAGCAGCCTCAAAAAGCATGAAAATGCATTTTCTTGACGATCAGACAAGCATTACTTTGCACTAGAAGGCACATCCAAATTATAATATTCCCTCCAATACATGATCAATAAATGAGCCAACTCCAGGAAAGAAGCCTACAGGACTGTTTCCTTTATGTTTACATTAAGCTGTAATTTTGCAAGAATGAGATTGGTACAAATTAGACATTAGGGAATAAGAGCAAATTCTTGAAGACATCTAAAATCACTGCAAGTCACATTTCAATAGCAAGAAAGAAGTTTCAGGATCTTGACAACCAGATACACCGAAGGGATAAAATTTAACCGTGGCCTTTTTTCTCCTTTTCAAATGAAACACTGTGTGACTGTGTCAGCAAGAGAATCAGCAGGCAGCAACACATCTTCTACAGCCATTTTATATACACCATATATATATATATATGTGTATATATATATACATACATATATATATATATAAAAAAAAATCTCCAGTAAGACATATCTCCACCTGACCCATCCTCACAGAGGATCTGTGCCTCTCAGGTGATGCGAGTACCCAGAAAATCCAACATCAAGTCTTTTCCTGATACGTTTTGCAAAAGCTACTACCAATCTTAAAAAGTTCTCCAGCATCCCCCACATGCATAGACTCTATGGTCTAGGCACAGCATTAATCACCACTCTCAATCTAATGACAAAGCATGTCTGACCTTTGGAAATTGTTTTTTTGTTCCGGCTCTGCAGGGCAGTATTGAGGGCTGCCGGGCAGAGCTTCCCTGGGGCTGCAGCTGCTTTCCCTGTGCACACGGACAGCACGGCCCCACGCTCCGGGCCAGGCAGCACATCCAGCGCCGCTCTGCGCCTCGTGTCCGTTTCAGACACAGCCGCAGCCAAGGAGCTCCCTGCACCTGGGCCAGCGAGCTGGGAGCCTGAGGCCGCCCTGCGGCCACCGGTGCCTGGGGACATCCCGCCCTGTGAGGGCTGCGCTTCTCCCCGAGCGCCCATCACGGTTCGGTTCTGCGTCTCAGCTGGGCAACGTGAGGGAAGCCTGGCACCTCTGACTAGGCTGCAGCTGCTGCAGCCAAGCCATGGGCAGGGAAACATCTCCCACCAAAGGGACAGGCAGGCGCACACTCCTCTGCACCTCAGGGCAACTAGAAGTGACCGAATTCTCACAAAATACACAAAAAACAACCAAAGGGAGCTTGGGCCATTTAATCAAATTAATTTTAAACTGCTATAAGTAGGGCTCATTTAATGTGTACAAGTATTTTTTTCCACTGTAACAAGGAAGACAATCCATATGGAAGGTATAAAAATGCATCTTTTCAATGAAAACCTCTCACAGCAGTATGTCAACTACAACTGGATATAATCTCCATTTTGAGGTTTTTAGTAAATACATCTAAGTCTTTGACTGCAACCTTTTAACTCTGTGTATTATTCCTGATGGATTGGTTTCCTGCTGCCCGAGCTCTAGCGCAGGGGCCACACTTGGAGTTCACTCCTGGAGTTCACTCGCCTTCACTCCTGGAGCCCCTCTAAAGGAACAGCCAGGTCACCCGCCACAGGGGCTTGTGAAACCTCACACACCCTGCACAACGGCCACTGCAATGCAAAGCACGTGCAAAAACATGGGGAGCAAGGGAAATGGACAGCCACAGCACCTGTACAACTATCCTGATAAAAGATAACTTTGCTCTTTTAGTACTTTTCCCCCTCTTGTTGCTCCTTTTACAATCCTATATACTGTACTTTTAAAGCGTAACACTTAGCTTTCTTTAGAGTAACTGTAAGGATCACAACATAAGTTTCAACAATGCTAATCTGCTGCAGACACACACTGATAAAAGATATGATATAATAAAAGAGTTGACAAACTCACAAAAGCTGTAAGAACAAGTTACGTCATTAAGAGATTTTGGGGGAAAACAACTACTAAAATACATCTAAAGCTTTACCACAGCTTTACATTAATGCCTGTCATTTTTCTTTATGAATTCCAAGAATTCTCAGCCATAAACCTGTTTTTGTTAAGGCTACTTTCAGTCCAGATAGTGCAATATACTGAATGAAGTGTTGGTTGGGGCTTAAACCACTCTATCCTCCTTCTCTCAGACCACTAAGTGCCTTCCCACTGACTATCTGCTCTCCGGAAACAGCAAACACACAGGCACTACCGCAGCAATACAAGGCAACCTCCTCCTCTTCCATACAAAAGTGTGGTGCTAAGAAATGCAGGTTTGGGTCCTAAAGGTTTGGGAGGAAAGGAGAGAAAAGGAAGGAATTTTGTTTGAGGAAGACACATGTAGTACAAGCTGAGAGGAAAATCAATGGACAGTCTTAAGATTAAGGAGACTCTGGCAGAAAGCAAATTTTTAGCAGTAATAAATTAATTCAAAACAGCTGTCCCAAAGCATTACGTGAAACTCTGCTTCAAATAACCCAGCTACCCAAATCGGCAACATTTCTTCTCTCAAGGACAAGTGCTTGGGAGCAGGGCAGGCACGGCTGGAAACCGGGCTGCTCCGTGCTGGCTGAAGCATCCGAGCTGATATTTCCACAAGAAACATGAGAGCAGAGAAAGGGAGGTTGCAGAAGAAGTTACACCAAAGGACGAGCACTTCATAAAAACTGCTTTCTACAAAAATATTAAGGACAAAGAAATAATTCCCGAACACGGGCAACTGCCCTCGTGCACGAATGGGTTCTACAGCTGACAGTGCGAATGGTGAAGATTTACTTAGACTGGCTCACCAGACAACAAACAAACAAAAAAAAATTCATTTCCTCAGGTTTTCTACATACTAAAATATGAGTATAGCAGCAGGTAGGAGTAAAGGTCACCTTGTGTAATTTCACTAGCATTAAAAAGACATGTAGCACATTTGCAGCTTTCTCCTTCACACATGAAACACTTCTTTGCAGGCAGCGATTGTTTGCACAAATTTCTAAGTTCATAGGTAGAAAATAAACCGGCACAGAAGTTGCTTTCCTACCTGAAAACACACCAGGATACATAAAATAAATATTTAAAACACAGCACACTGTATTACACATTGAATGTGTTTTTCATTTCAAGTTTATTAAAACTTTAGCAGTACAAATGATCCAGGTTTTAGATTATCAAAAGACCAAACTGAAGTCCACATCTTAAAAAAAGCGTTCCCCAAAATGTCTCTAAAACTTTGAGACAATGGAAACATTAAGTCCACAAACTCATCCATGCCGGTCATCATCTGTTCCAGGACTTGTTTCATGATCAGACTTTTTATCCTTATTCTGGGCTTCATCTCTTTCCTGACTCTCTGATTTTTGGTTTGTTTCTTTTTCTGGTGACTTCTCCTTTTCTTTGCTCCTGCGTGAATATGATTTTTTTGATTCTCTCTCTTTACTACTTGGTCTCTTTTTTGAGTCTGGACTTCTATCGTGATCTCTGCTAGACTTCTTATCTCTGCTGGATTCAGGACTGCTACTGTCACGGCTCTTTGAACGCCTCCTCCTTTGGCTTTCACTATCATTCCTCCTATGAGAGCTTCTGCTTTCTCTGTTTGAATACCTATCCCTGGTTCTGCTTTGACTATCCTCTCTCTCTGAACTCCTCGATTCTCTCCTCCTCCGGCTTTCTCTTCCCCTATATCTATCTGGTGTGCCTCTCCTTTCCCTGCTTCTTGATCTTCCTCTTCTTCTTTCTCTGTCTCTATCTCGGTCTCGGTCTCTATCCCGGTCTCTATCTCGGTCCCGGTCTCTATCCCGGTCTCTATCCCTATCTCGGTCTCGGTCTCTATCCCTATCTCGGTCCCGGTCTCTATCCCTATCTCGGTCTCTATCTCTATCCCGGTCTCTATTTCTTGAATATTCTTTACTTCTACTGCGATCTCTGTCTCTACTTCTAGATCTTCTTCTCCTATCCCTGTCCCTGCTTTTGCTTCTCTCCCGTGTTCTACTGCTGGAGCTATGTTTTCCTCTCCCATGTTCACGATCTTTGCTTCTTGACCTGTGTTTATCCCTGTCTCTACTCTTACTATGATCTTTTTCATTACTTCTCGAACCTGCCCTTCTACTTCTTTCCTTGCTCCTACTTCTTTCTTTATCTCTTCCTCTAGAATCATAACGTTTTTCCTTTTCTCTGCCTTTCTCATGGTCCCTCTCTTTGCTTCTTGATCTTGCTCTCTTTTCATCATGTCTGTTGTGCCTGGAGTCTCTTTCTTTACTTTTTGATTTCTCCCGGCTTTTGCTATGGCTTCTGGACTTAGCTCTCTTCTTGGCCTTGCTTTTGTTATGCTTGTCATCTTTTTCTGAATTCCGTCTTGTCTCTCTATCTTTGCTGCTTGATTTATGATCTTTTTTCTTCTCCTTTTCTCCTCTTCTGCTTGGACTTTCAGAAACTTGTCTGTGGTCTGATATTTTTCTCTCCTTTCCTCTTCCTGGGCTTTTTTGATTATCTTTCTTGTTTTCATTTATTTCACTCCTTGGAGAGAGAAAAGTATAGCTTTTAAATACTTTGAATTCCTCCACTCTGCAAAATGAAGTCAGAAGTGAAAAAGCTTCATAACTGAAATTTCAATCACATTAGGATTGCTACATTAACATCTTCAAATCTACAGTAGTCACAAATGCGTATGATTAAAAACAGGAGGAGTTATGAGGCAACAGGTAACAAACGTCAATAATCAGTAACATTTTCATTGAAATTACTGTAAGACAAGAAAAAAAACTGAGAAGATGGGTATTACTTAAATATATAAAAAGTTCATTGCATATACTCTGAAAAGAAACAATCTTACTTGTCCCCTTTTATCCATCTTTCTCCACTGGACACTCTAATTCTTTGAGCTCTCTGCATTTCTTGCCTCCAATGTGGAGGAGTCTCACTGCGCCTGAATCGATCTCTTGACCTGGATCTGGAGGGTGTCCGGTAACGCTTGAAAAGCGAAGAGAAAGAAAAGAAAGTTGGATTTCCCATGTCATGCTCGCTAAGCAAGCTTTTAATCCCTGCTACGTGACTCTGCACTGCACCTAACGCAGTACTTGGGATTTCTACACTGAGCTGAACTAACATTAACAATTTATTTACTCAGTTAAAATGTATTTGATATTCAATTAAGTCAGGGATACCAAATAACTTACTTATACAGTGATTTTATTTCAGAATTGTTGTACAAGCTAGCAAGTCTTCTGTCATTTTTATTCGGACAAATGTGACTCACTTTTTTAGCAATGAAAATTCTTTGGCAAGCAACACCGAAGAGAAGATGCTTCTGTAAAACCACCTGATACATAAAAAAATGTATAGTATGTTTATTTGGCTTGGAGAAAAGACTGTAAACATTTACCCTTGGTCCTCTTCCTTTTATTTTCCTTCCAGATCTGGTCACTAACAGCCTTCTCTGGTATGTTGACTGGGAATTTGATAGATTACTAAAAAAAAAAAAGAGAGAGAGAGACACATTGATTATAACATGATCTTAATCTTATAAACTAGACGAAGAGAAAACAAGATGAAAAACTCACATAAATATTATTTACAAATGAAGGAGTTTTACTTTCATTCTTAATTACTTTTTAGTTTTGTATGAGACCTTAATAGAATTGTATTTTTTCTTCCATATCTGAAAAGGATAAATACAGCTTAAAAAAGTTTGAGTGAGGAAAAGTGCCTTTTCTTTCAAGCTTCTTGGTAGCAACTTCGCAGTTTGGAATTTGACTAGCACACCTACCAAGACAAAGTAAAACATCATGAACTCACATGGACTACATTTTAATACTTCATGAGAGAGGCTTCTTTTATCATTTTTAAAATGAAGACGTTCTATAGAGATAACGGAGAAATTAATTTGCAATGGATTCCTGCCCCGCATGACGTTTCATTCCTGGGCATGGAAAGTGAGGAGGCTCTGACAGCCGGGAGAGGCACCACAGGGACAACACAAGCCACTCGCCATCGCTTCACTTCCACCTGCCTCCCCTCTGCCACGGGACAGCAGACAGGGAGTGCGTGTGGCCCCCGTGACATTCCGCCTGGGCACCTCAGTAACCTCTAGACAGGGCTGGCTTCTACGTAAAACCTTCATTTGAGGTAACCTGTTGATATCAGTTCATATAACAATAACTGCATCCTTGTTAATCAGCTTAAGGGAGCCACCATCTTGATGGTGATTCCAATTAAAACTGCTATAAATTAGTTTCCAAGTTTTTTCTTACTGTTTTTTCCTCTTTTAAAGTTCAATTCCAACGGAATCTTTGCAAGACAAGAACTAAGCAAACTTGTTCTATTTTTAGGTTAAGTCCATTAAAAGTACACGTGATGAAATCTGCTCAAACTCGATTAGAATATTCCCCTTCCTCCAGCATTTCTAACAAAAGCTTCATATTTTTCACTCACTAAAATGATTTCTGAACATCAAGCCTATTTTTCTAAGGCAGAAAATACAGCTGATTTAACTGAAAAAATTCATTTTTCTTCCAGCAGTGCTCACAATATGTCACTATCGAACAGGGCAAAAAACACTGGTTCACTACAGACACTTCAAAAAAAACAGCCATATGACCATATGTGCTGCCAGCAGTGAGTAGTCATGTTGAAACACACATATTACCTTTCTCTTTCCTTCTCTCTGCTTTTCCTTTCTTTTTCTTTCTCATCTGCTTTAGGAGGACTTTTCCGCATGAGGAACCGATTTTCAGGTATAGGAGGAATTTCTTCAGGACGGACAGTGGATAACGGTTGTGCTTCGGGGTTTTCATCTTCACTTTCACTGGATGAACTTTGGTTTTGTATAAAAGAGAAATATTCACATTTAAAATAAGTTATTTTGGCAAGGAAAGACTTTTGTATCAGAAATTACATTGACCCAATACACACTAAATCAAAAAAAATTATGCTGAAGACATACACATTTAGAGAGATGAAATCTATAGTTAATACTAGTATTTTTCTTTTGTAAAATAAACAAAAAACCTAGAGAACAAGCAGAGCTGTTTCAGATGCTGCTATTTTCCTTATGGTATCTTTGCTCCAAAGATTACATAAGTGCAGTAGATTTCTGACCAATAATTTTGATCTATAAATTCCCAGGGTGCAATATCAAACATGCATGTATTCTAAATTTAGATACAGGCTAAAAGAAATCATGACAGAAAAGTCAAGCTCTGATTTAAAATTTGTATATGTGACTGCCTACAAGCTATTATAAATCCAAACAGATAGTACAAACCACAATCGTGTGTGAAATGTGCTTGGGCACAGAGAAATGACGCCTGGCATTGGTCAAATTTGGTCAAAAGCACTGTCCTGAGTATTCCTGACGGTGCAGTGCTGGCTTAGAAAAATGCGACTTGCTCTCACACAGTTGTATCCCATAGTGAATGCAAACAAAATTATCAGACTGAAAATAACATTTTCCGAAGCATGAGTCTTAGAAGTCTGTCTTTATCATCTTCCAGTGAAACTGTAAGACTTATAGCATGTAAGATAGAATGTGACTAGTCTTAAGTATGTTTATTTGTGTATGAATTCTGTTTTATTCCTGCATACTACATTCTCAGGAGACTCCCCCATATGGAGCCCAATTTGGACTGAATACAGAAGTGAATTTCATGAAATAATCAGTCAAGGTACCTGCCAAATCAAGCCCTGCAATTTCCCAAGCCTCAGCCCATTCCTTCAGAAGTGGCCAGATATCCACACTTACAGTGTGCTTCACCGTCAAAGTAGAAAAATTCAAACCACTACATGAAAATCTTCTGTCTCCCAAACTTGCCAATACATACTTCACAAGTTAGAATGTGTGCCTGTATATGTGTATGTACACACACACATACAGAGAGTAGTGATAGTTTAAGAAAGTGATAGTGTTATGGTGCACAGGAAGTAAAAAGGCAGAATGTTTCCAAAATTCCTTTTATAAAAACAAGAAAATTCCCAAAATTGACCTTTTCTTGCTTTTCTTTCTCTTTTTCTTTTCTTTCTTATGTTTTCTGGAATTTTTCTTGTGTTTCTTTTTTCTTTTCTTGGATTTCTCTTCAGAAGCACTCTCAGAATCCGATGATGAATCAGAAGAAGAGTCTGAATCACTTGAACTTTCTGAATCACTGGATGAAGAGGACGATTTATGTCTTTTTCTGTCTTCTTTCTTGGCTTTAAATCAGAATAAGATACACATATTTCAGTAACTGTTTCTCTCAAATAAAAAAATAAGAATACACAAGAGATTTCAAATATCTTTTATTTACAAAAATGATCTTAAGCACCAAATCTGTACTGGTAAGAACGTATAAAATTGTGAATGCTTTCAGATGCAGCTACTTAAGTTAGCCCAAGACGTAAGTGAAGATTCACAGACAACAAAGCCTTGTGCTTATTGAAACCATGGTCTAAACAGTCCTAATCCTCCAGCTCATTTTTTTCTTTCTTTCTACAAAAAGATACAAATCATTTACTAAACATCTGGTATTAAAAAGGAACCCTGCTACAGGGTAGACTGCTTCATCGCTACATATTTTATAATTTCTTGAATGTCTTGGAGCTTTAAAACAGCAATTCACTGGCATTCTGATGGCAGCCCAGGAACAAGCAAACCAAGAACAGACACTAATCTGCCCCTCTTCCTGCCTAAACTGATCTGATATCTACTTAAGATACTAAAAGTGATGCAAGTATTAGTTCAGAGTCAGAGTAATTTGAGAAAAATGATACTGCTAAAAAATATATAACTTAGCAAAAGCTATTTGAGGCTCAGAGCTATAGACATTTTAGTGTCTATCAGTTGAACAGCATGAACATTTCAAATGCGTGAAGAAATTTACACCAAGCTACTGGCTACAAAATTAGAAGTTTTATCCAGAGAAGCAAACGAAACAAAAGATAAGCAGCCCCAGTCATTTCAGACTTAGTCTTATCAAAACTGGCTTTTGTAATTGATATCTAACATTGTTTTGCTTGGTTACTGCAAATTGCAAAAATAGTATTCACTGCACAACATAACACAGCTGCAGAAACAAGAAACTGAACCTTGACCATTAAACAGAAGAAAAATATACAAAAATAAATGTTGACATCAAAACAGCTTCTTTTCTAGCCACAGAAAATCTGTATTTTAGAATAACATATGTTAAGACTTTGGAACAGTCTATAGCTTGGAATTAGAAATGAATTTTAGCAGGGTAAATGAATCTTTGCAGTAGAATTCATATAGACTGAAGTATTAGCCTGATTTACATATCTTTTAGTAGCTTGGTCTATCCAAAGAATTCAAAACTCGTCTTCACAAAACAGGGAAATGAGGAGAAGAGAAATACAAGATTCATACTAATACAAAGTGCAATCTATCTGCATCTGAGAGTTGTTCAGATACAGCAAACATGATGCTTTCACACAAAAATTTCTCCCTGAATAAATGAAGCTTTCTTCATTTTTATTATCTGTAATACAAAATAACACCTGTTTATTCCAGCCAAACACTTGCTCTGTTGGCCGACAGAGACCTGGGCCCAAAAGGATGATGCAATTTATACTAGCTGTTGTGCATCAGAGGTTGTTATAAAACAAATACTAAGCCAAGTGATTACTCTTTAAAAAGGGAAAGTTATCTTAATGTATTTTTGCTGCTAGACAATCTTTTAAGTGTGTGCAGCTGTGTGCACATGCACATTTGCAAGACAGGAGGGAATAACAAAAGAAGAGCTGAATTGGTTCCATTGCAAACAGAATATTTGGCAGAAGGTTTCAGATTAACTTTCTCCTCTACTGACCTCTGTCTCCATCCAGCAGCAAATACTATTTTGAAGACCAAACCAATCTAGTCCCAGTCAGTTACAGACCACACCAACAAATAACCCTGATCCTGCAGAATGAAGGTCGGTGAGGAGGAGAGACTTCTATTTACAGTCAAACTGCTCCACGTTATTTTTGCTATTGGGTTTCAACCTATCAACGCATCTGAAATAGAGGCCTTGCTTCCCACTCCATTCACTGTGACCTACAGCATTTGCCAAACTTCATAAATTACCCCATCACACTGCATGGCACAGCCAGGCACTCTCCGCACCTCAGCTTGCGGGGGAGTACAGCAGCTCTTACCTGTTATCAGACTACTGCACTTAAAAGGAAGGAAGCCGCTGGCCCGCGAGCAGCCAGGGCCACTACCTAGCCCTGCGGGTGCAGCAAGGGCACTCGTGCTTACCCTGCTAACCTGCTCACTTGCACACTCCCCCAAAACAGGCTGCTTTTGTTTCAAGACACTACAGGACAGGTATTTGCTTTGTGGTTTTTTTTTTCCAATCATCTTGCTGTTGAAAGTTTTCTTCCTCTCCCTTGTATTTTTATGTGTTTCTCCTTGCTATTTGCCATGGGTTTTCCTTCCACTCTTTAATGACCTACTGCTTCTTACCGTGAATATTACAGATAGTAATCAATTCCTCATAGATATCTATTCATGAGAACTTATAATTAACTCTTGTTAACAGGCCAAAGTTGTTACTATGAGGACTGCTGTGCCACAATGGCCTCTGGAAGCAGTTGTCTCTGCAGACAAGGGACTCGCAGGCAGCTACCAGAGCGGAGGAAGAGCAGCTCTCCCCGCCTTTACTCCGAACCAGGCGGTCGAAGCCAAAACAAACACTTTGTACCTAACGGCCAGTCTACTAAAACTTGGCATTTGTGGAGTAGAAAAGCCTGAAACAACTGTTCAGAACAGCCTGCTGGTGAAACGGGGCTAATAATGATGTATAACAGTTGGGAAAAAAATGCATGTCTCAGAGGCTGAACAAGAGGAAAGGAAGGAGACACAGATTCAAAGTACAGACAAAACACAACTTAGAGTAACTGCTCTCCAGGACTGACTTTATTCTGTAAATATTTTATGACCCCCTAGTTATGAGACTTTGTAGTCTGTATCAGCATATTTTATATTCTATACTCATAGCTTTCTATATTCTCTATATTCACAGCTTGCTCTCTCCATATATATGTACACATGCACTATAAACACACACATACATGTATGTATATATAAATTTCATTACTAGGACAACACTATTTGTAAAATTATTCTTTAATTATGAAGGCAGCCATAATCAGCTTCATTTGCTGAAGACACACTTTTACTGACAGGAACTCCATAGGGACATCTCTAGCAACAACAAAGATGATGAATCAAGCCTAAGTACGCTCTCTGCAAGACCCTAGAAATACCCTTTGTATGAGAAATCTTCACTAAAGACTATTGTTAAGAATTGACGAAAAAAATCTCTTTCCCTCCTGTATCAGAACGTAATTTTTAATCAATATCTTACTTTCTAATAAAGCTTTGATTAATCGAAATCACAATTTCAAAAAGATGAAGCTACATTTATTTGACTAGACGCCCTTCTGCAAAACTTCATCAATTCATTTCAAACAAATTCAGTTAAATATACAGTTCAACTTTACCTTTGGATTTCGGAATTAACTCCCCACAACTCAGTATGCGTACTTCAGCATATGGTTTACTAGATGCATCTGTTTTCTGATTTTCTATTTCTCTCACAACCTCTTGACCTGAGATGACTTGTCCAAAAACAACGTGATGTCTGAAAATTTAAACAGAAATATGACTTAGCAACAATTTTTTCAAAGCATTCCTCAAATGAACATAGAAGAAGATAAACGTATTTACCCATCTAAGTGAGGCGTAGGTTTAGTTGTTCTTTTGTTGTCAAACGAAGTAATTTAAAGAGAAAAACATAAGTTTTAGAGCAAAGTAGTCAGCATTTTAAGTTATACATTTTATATATGTGTGAATATATACATAAAGTGAAAATTGAGTAAACTAATAAAACTGCATTCAGTTATTTAATGTTTTATACATTAAACTACTTATTTTCTTACTTTGACTAACACATTTTACATACGTCAAACAAAAATACAGATTAATAAGTTTTCAGACCACATCTTTATATAGCATATAAGTACTCTACTAAATTATATTAACATCTCAAGTAATGTATAAAAATAAGGCAAACTGTCTTAAAGGAAGAAAACTGCAAATAACCTACTCATTATAAAACCTTCAGAAAACAAAGGAAAAAACAGTCTTCTACTTTTCATGTCAAGTTTCCTTGTAGAAGTGACTGTCTTTATACATGGAGAATCAAACTGTTCACAGTTCCCGCTACATAGGGATTACAAGGCACGTCAGCCATGATAGAAGTTGAATTCTGAGATAAATACACATACTATCTTTGAGCAGTCCCAAGTACACATCTAATGGCACGTGACATGTGCAACTGACCATAATTCTGGTCATGGCACACATAAGACTGTTGAATTTCAAGAATGCTTTCTGTAGATAAGAGTTATATATAAGTTTATATATGATTTTTTTAAATATTTCTGCAGTAGACACCTGTTAAATCAAAATGAGACTCCACTTGAAAGTTTTCTGTGACAGAAAATTTCTCTACCACTTTGAGTCTGGAGAAATCCCAGGGCTGCTTTCCCTCCCTTCAGACATTAAAAGAATGTCATAAAATTGTGCAAGGATCTAATAGATTTGCATTATTGCCTAAGTGAGAACGCACCTACTAAAAACAACAACTACAACAAAAAGCTCTTTTGTGCAGACATTGAGTGCTAAACGCAAGAGTGATTTTAAAAAAAAGTCATTTTCCCTAAAATGTTCATTAGAAAAATGGCATCTTTCCTGAGTTTATGAAAAAGCATCAGCTTTGAGTCTGTTTATGAGCTAGTCTCCAAAAATTAAGAGTTATCTTTGCAAATTACAACCCCCTGAGTCATGCACAATTTATAACAGTTCAATACTTACATGAAGAACTGTGAACCATTTGTATCTTTCCCTCGGTTGGCCATTGAAAGGAGAAATTCCTTGTTGTGCTTAACAGCAAAGCTTTCGTCTAAAAAATAAATTAAAAAACAAGTATTTTCAATTCCTTGAAAATGTCATGTGCTCAGATAAATGCTATAACCTAAGTAAACTCATCCTTGCCATTTCATTAAAAATAGCATTAAAGTTAGATTCAGAACAATAAGCACTATTTAAAAAAAGACATTACACCTTTCAGGCCATATAGTGCAACTTAAGAAGAGGCATTATGAATTTGATTTTTAGCCTGAGAAAAAAAACTAAGAATATAACTTCCTTATCAAGAAATTTGTTTTCTAACACTGTAAATAGAGACCTGACCATTCTAAGCTTTTGCTGTTTTTGTTCCACACATGCAGATCTTTCTCTCTCTGAAGCAGAAAAAGTTTATTGTGGTGCATTACGCATTATAAAACTCCCTAACTTTCCAGCTGTTTTGTTATATTTTAATAAATACGGAATTTAATGGTAATTTCAAAGAACTTCGGTTTATTGACTACACAGACAGGTTTAATCAAACTAGCCATGAAGAAAATAAGTTTAAATGAAAGGAATCTTACTTTGGATTATGTCATAATTTTAACAGTTCAGGTTAAATCCCAATGAAACTGAAATATAATCATCATTCTTCACTTAAGACACTTGCAACAGATCATCCTATCCTCCTTTATCACCTAAACAGCATTAAAGGCTGTAGAGGTATCTAAAATGTCCAGACTGAAGTTGTTTATTCATTATTATATAGAGTTATGGCAAGACAAAGAACATTCCTTTATGGTTATGATCTTGCATCACACTGAATCACTGGTAGTGAAAGGGACAGTTACAGTTCCTCCTACTGCCACCTGAACCACTGGTCTTGCACTAGCTGTTATCTAACCCCAGTGAGATGGTTAAGGAGACTCATCAGAAAGAAAAAAAAAAAGATAGAGAGAGAGATTCATGATAGCATGATGCACTGCACAAACAGCTACAGCTGCCACAAGGTAAGTTTTGCTGCTTCTTCCATCTCTTCCAACCATATCCTTTTCCAACCCCAGCTAATCACTTGTGCTGGTTTCTTACACTTGTTGGACTACCTAGTGAACTGGATTGAAACACTGATATGGATTTTTTTTTTTTTTTTTTTTTTTTGCGCTGTACAGCTTGTATGGCATTTTAACAAGCTGAATCAGCTTAGTTTCATCTGACGGGAACCACAGCAGTGCAAGCTAAGATCTCCCCTCTTCAGCAGTTGCAAACTGTTGATTCAACCAAAGGCCTGACAGAAAAACTGCAGCTTAAACTTCTCAAACAGTGAATAACTATTTTGATTGTTTGCTGCAAACTCAGAGAAGCACCAATGTTAGAAGAAAAATGGCAAGTAGAAGGGAGGATTACAGGCACCCCTTTATGTGGCAGATGGCCATCAGAAGGGTATAGCTGTAACATGAAACTCCTCTCTGAAACAGGGAGATGCTCCAGTACATTCTGGACCAACACAGGCTGGGAAGGAGGCTGGAGAGAGAAGACGATCTTAGGTGACACGGACTAAAAGAGAACCAGCACTGTGACAAAACTGACGCCTCTCAAGTTCTCTTGAGCTCAGGAAAACAAGGCTTTACACTTCCCTGTAAATAGAAAGAGCTTGCAAGACAATCAGACTCCATCATGACTTTGTCCTCCTGATTGGAGAAAAATGTAAGTCCCAACTTTTGGCTATCTGCTCAAGCTCAAAAAGGTACATTCAGAATCAGAATACCATGTTTAGAAACAATTATAAAAATGCAGGTCTGGCAAAATTCCTACATCTAAATGAATCTAATTTCTGTTTAGTTTTTCATTACAAAGGTTTACATCCTAACAACAATAAAACCAAACAAAAAAACACAAGAAACAACGACAAAAAACACTTCCCCTCCACATTATGATAGTCTCATGTGAAAAACAACAGAAGACTAAGACAAGTAAAGTCCTAATAAAGACATTGGAGTTGACACTTACAGAATGGAGACTACAGAACATAAATGTGATTGCTTAGAATAACAAAGGAAGAGTGGACTCACAAACTCTTACCTTCAAAAAAGCCACCATAAATGGATTCTCCTCCCCTGCCATTTCCTGAAAAGAGTAAAAGTAGCAGTTGCAACTTAAAGTACTCATAAATAGAGTCACATTTTATTGAGGATGTTTTGCAATACAAATTATTGCTCTAACTACATCTAAATGACTGGTATTATTCCTGAAGATATCTAAAGATGATCAGATAATAAGAAGCATCTCCTTATTGTTTCCTTTAAACAGAAACAAACCAACTTTATCATGAGACATAAAACTTACTGAGCACTAAGGTAATGGAACAGAATTTGCACATACATGCATATACATATTAAGTGTTCATGTAAGCCTCTTACTCAGAAAAAAAGTATTCAAGTTACAGAATAATTCATGTAGTAAAGGATGCTAAACAGGAGTATCCTATTCCATAAGCACTAGGGTTCTTTAAAGATTCATATCATACCTTCGCTGAAGTCACCTCCTTGGATCATGAAATCTTTCACTACCCTGTGAAACAGACAACTTTTGTAATGCAATGGCTTTTGGGTGGATTTTCCTGTACCCTTTTCACCTAAAGGAGAGGAAGGAAAAAAAAAAAAAAAAGAAAAAAAGAAACAAAAAACAAAAAGTGACTCTGTGTACCTGTACAATCATCACTATTAAAAAAGCACTGCCTAAGGGCTTGATCAAAGTTATTCACTGAGAAAAAAAAAAATACTGAGGTAGGCACATACCTGTCAGGTTCTTGCTTATATTACATTTGAGGAAACAGAGCAGAAACCAGCTTCTTACTATTCTTAAATACAAAGAAGCAATGAAGAAGTTCATTTGAATTTAACTTAAATTTTAAATGTGAACCATTAAGTATAAACTTCATAAGATTTTTTCTGACTTGAAATGCTAATCAAAGACTTCAAGTAAAAAAAATCCTTGCACTAGCAAGGAAATAAGACCTTTTTAATCTAACTTAAATCTAACTTTTGGATATTTTGTAGACCAAGCATCATACCAAACTAGAACCAAAGACAAACAAAAAAGACATACACATTTGGGGTTCAAAATTATGAAATTCTCGTATGCTGATTTTGTGCAAGTAATGCCCAGTAATGCCTACTTTCCTGTAGCCAGCACAAGTGTCATACAAGGTGCACCAGCTAACTTCACACAACTAATCACACACCTCATCCTGATCAAATTAGTACTGCTGAGCGATTCATAAGAGATGCTACAAACTCTTGACCTGGAAAGGACCAGAGCTGACAGGAAAAGAAAGCAGGAAATGCTTAAGACAGAAAAAAAAAATCACTCTTGAGATAATACTTTATTAAAGTTTTTTTTGATAAAATATCGGCATTTTCAAAAAAAAAAGCAGAAAGTCCACAGGAAAAAATATTACTATTTGGGAATGTTTCTAGGAGTTTTTTTTTTTCACTACTTAATTCAAATTTCACTAGAGATGAAAGTCACCAGGTTCCATCTACAAAGAAAAAAAAATGTCAGCCAAGTAGGAAGCAAAGATACCAATGAACACCAGCAATACCTTTGAAATATCTCAAAATATCCCAAGACTAAAACAGACGTCTGCATGTTTGACCTCTTAGTTCAGGACTGGATAATGTTACATAATGTAAGTGGTAATTTCTAGTAACAGAAAATCAGCTTATTGTGTCAGTATTTGAACTTGATTAGTATATGCTTCCTGAAACATTCTAAGCCAAAGCTACAACTGCTTTGATTTTGCAGCAGATGCATATGAAAAATCTGCTGAATCTCTATAGATGCCAGGAGGCAATGCTTTATATGTTTGTTTTTGTGTCAGAAAATGCCAGGAAGAATACTTTAGGTGCCAAACTAACATGGTATATTAAAAACCATAAATAGAATTAAAAATCTACAAACCTGTGCAAAGGCAGCGAAAATTCTCACATGTCTTTGGACACACATCTGAAAACAACTCAAAGACCACTCTTCCAGCTAGAAAAAAAGTCACATTTGTTACAAAGTGGACTCTTATTAGCACTATTCTTAGATATTTAATTGAATATTAAATATAAGGATTACATATTTTAATTTTCTTACCAGGTACATTGTTGATGGCTATGTCAAAAAAGCAACGAGGTCTCTGGACCTTTACTCCCATGGCTTCAAAAGTTTAAATACTGTAAATAATAAAAATAAACATGAGTGTTTCCCTTTGTGTAGTGAAATTATGCTCGTCAAAGAAGATTTTATAAGACAACAAAAACTGTACAAATGATAAGAAAAAGAATGCATAAAAAACTCATAGCAAAAAAAAAATTTTGGAAAGACTTCCAAATACTTCCAAAGACTTCATAGAACTTCACACAATTTCATGTTTTGTGGACCCAAAGGAGTGATTTGTTTTTACTGCTTGCTGCAATTGTTTTAACTTGAAGCTTAACTGCCATAGCTCAAAAAAAAAAAAAAAAAAAAAAAAAAAAAAAAAAAAAAAAAAAAAAAAAAAAAGATACTGCAAGGTATAGGTAACATAAATTTTTAAGCCTTCTGGCTCTACAGATGGTATAACATAACCACTTTAAGACATTTCTTCCTAGATTTCTTGCATTTTCAGGACAAATCTGAATGAATCACAGAAACAAGAGCCGCTTTGGGCCCCCAGTGTGCTCTCTAGCACCTTACTGCAGCAGCTGCCTTTGAAGTGTCTAACCAGCGTAATTCGGGACCCCCAGGTGCAGCGCTAGCAGCCGGGGATGTGCAGCCCCCATGCCACGTCCCCTCGCTGGCTTTGGCGCAGGCCGGTGGTCCCAGGAGCGGGTCAGCCACTGCAGCGCACTCAAGGTCAGCTTCTGCCAAAGTCCTTTTCCATTAACAGAACTGGTCCATGAACTACACCTGCTCCGGAGCGACACACTGCTTAGGACATCAGGAAGCACAAAGAGTGTAGGACAGGACCTCCTCTGACCGCTGGCGGCGAGTCCATCAGCTCTGGGACAGCTCTGCTGCTTCTCACCCTGTCTGCCCATCCTCACTCACACTGTCACCCGCAGAGACGCCCCTGGCCAGGCTGCCATCCCTTAGCGACCCGCAGCAGGTACCCAAAGGCTTGCAGCAAAAGGCCGCGGCGCAGGGGGAAGCAGAACCGCACATAGGGCTGCAGACAGGAGGCCCCAGCAGCCCTGGAGCAGTGACAGCCACGCGCTGCACCCCAGGCCTAGCTGGGGCTGCAAACTAGCAGCAGCCACACTAACAGGGCAGTCCTCAAGCACAAAAAGGAGTTCTCCCAGGGAAATAAGGGCTCGATGCAGTCTATCAAATTCATACAAAAGCACAACTGGGCCCAAACTGCCACTGTTAGACAGCTCTGAAGAGCTGACATACTAAGCACATCACATGCAAACCAAAGGAAAGAACAAGAAATATCTGTGTTCTTCTCTACTTAAACAGGAGGTCTGCTTCCCTATTAAACGCCTGCTGTTCATATAAGCAATTGTAATAGACTGTTCCTCAAGCAGCTCTGATCAGGACCATCTTTATCACCAACTATACAGGTAGGGAACATCAGAGTTGCCCGGCAGCATGTACAGAACTGAAGGGATAGGGAGGACTCCCTAACCATGCAAGGGACTACTCCTGATTTTATAAGCTATATTCTGCAACCTAGAAGTAAAGAAAGAAGCACTAAAGCACTTTTTTTTCCACTAACTTCTTTGCAACAATTACTGAAGTAGGGCACTTTCAGAAATATCAGATTTTTTTGCTATAAATGTTAAAAAAGAATGGTCAAGGAGTTAATAACTGTTCATGGCTACAGCTTGATACCTAGCCCTAAGCATTCAATTTCTTCAGAGAGCATTTCCAGCATTCCTGTCACTATGAGATCAAGAGTTGCTCCTATTAGGAAACAGACCATTCTACATTAAAAAATAAAGCTGCGGGTTTTCCACAATTACCGCTAAGCGAAACAGCTTCAGCTTTGCATTGCCTCTCCTTTCATGCCATTGATTATATTTCTTGAGAACCCTAATGTAACTTTTGCCATATTCTTGGCTGTGTCAATCCCCTTATTTTCATTAAAGGCTTCCCTTCATGTCATTGAGAAATCTAGCCTCCAGTATGTGATACTCTCTTCCTTTGCTTATTCCCCAATCTCTCTCAACTGCTTCAGAAAGGAAACCAATATGATAATGGCAGAAGAATCTTTAAGACTGGAGCACTCTGCCCAGCATATGGGATGCAACCTATGAATTTGCAGTTCTAGTTATATTTGGTTGCCAGAAAACAAGACTAAAATCTGTATTTTAGACATACTGCATACATAACCTCTTCTAGAACTGAATCTCTTCTAGTAGCTGTGCTACAGAACAGCCTAGAAAAACTATTGTTGCCATCTGTCACATTCAGCTTAAGAACTAGAGGCTGTAAGAAATCAAAAGCCTGTAATGTAATCATGTTAGTCTATATTCTCTCCTCCTTGTGCACAATATTACTCCAACAGTTTTGTCAAGATTATACAGGGAAAATTCCAAGCACAAAGCAGGAGTCATTTAAATGAAAGACCAGGCAATAGCTCATCATGCATGCAACTCAGCCTGACTAGGCTTTGCAAACACGCAGAACCTCAGCAGATCCCACCCTCACTGCTGTGCAACAAATGCATTAGTTCACACAGTCAGAACCTGAATCCAAAGCGGCAGCCCTGCCTTGGCCTGCTTGCTCCTGCCTCCCGCTCTTCTATCAGTACAAGCAGTTTTGCAGCCCCATGAAGAAGCAAGCAAAGAAAACTCATCTAGCTGAAAACGTTCCTGGGGTCACGTTAGCGGAACACCAGCCCGTTCATGGCACTGTTCACACACTCTCCTGGCACAAGGACGAGGCAGGATGGGGCGAGGGAAATGGGAAGGCGGTAGTGGACAGACTTCTGTCAGAACAGAAACTCAGGCACCGTCCATAGGAGAATACAGCCATGTGGAGAAGGGGAAAAATAAAAATAAAATTTTGGTGATTAAAGTGCAAATCAATTTAGCAGAACTAAGACATTCAAGGGCCTGTAGTGGATGGCTCTTCAACTGTATGTGAACTTTAGACATTTGGCTGTTGGACTTGAGCGAGAGATACTGAATTTTTGCTTTATGGGCAATTAGATTGAGAAACAGAAGAGGAAAGTATGAACTATATACATGATTTTATATACATGAATTACATACACAATTTTAGCCAAAACAAATGCACATAATCTTAATAATGAGAAACATCTTTAATTGCAGATTTTGATAATGACTAAAGTTACTTATAAAATAAATGTCAATATACCTCCTGCAATTTTGACTTGGTTTTGTAAAGAAAAGAGAAGAGGGAAAGAAGAGGGACAGAGGGAGAGAGAGAATCCTACTTAAACTCTCATTCTCACCAACTTTTGCTTGATTGGGTAAGTTCATCTACATTCTCTCATGAGGAGTGGAACAAATGAAGCCTAGAGCATGGTCTAAATCCTTATGCGACACATTGCAATAAACTCAGGTCTACTTACCAATATGGTTTTCCTCATTACCTCCAGTTCCCCTGCACTTTCCCTAAATCCTCCAATAATCTTCCCTAAATACTGGCTGCATTTGGCTCCAAATGGCAATCAAATCGATTGCTTGATATGAAAACCCTGACTGAACAGCCCAAATAAACACACCTAATTCTTTAGTAGATGTTGCAAATATCTCCTGAAATAATCCAGGAATATCTCATCCCCGAAACTATTTGGAAGACTGAATCAAAACTTACTGGAAAGGAGTGGAGACAGCAATGCATTCTTAAATAAGAGAGCCGATGGAATAGAGTGGATAAGGCTTATTAAATCCCTAGTAAACCAGGCTAAAATACCAATGACATTTATCCTAACTACCTTTAAGTTAAGCAAGTATTTCCCCTTCAATATACTTAAGTATCTTTTGCAGGTAGGACTTTTTTCTTTTCTGTAGTTCATTGTGTATCTTTGATTTCAGAGACAGCTGCATTTGGTTTTTAAATTGCCCTATAATACATTTCCTTCTATTTTTCATGTCCAATTCTCCAAAAAGAAAACCTGCCAATGAGTCCTGTCTTTAACTTAATACAACTACTTTTCCATACTTGTATTTCTTTTCAACTATTACCTTGTTAATCCCACATAAGTACTACTGGAATAAATAAATCTCTTAAATTGATAAATTAATGTTCATATCACTAACTTACCAGCCAGAAGTCAGCTTGAAGGATCCCACTATGAACGTGCACACTAATGTTACCCAACATGTAAGGCAACATGAGAAAGTCAAATCACTCCTCTCTTCCAAAACCCTGAGGGAAAGGATGATATTGCAATCTAAATTCTGTCCTGAGATGTCCAAGCCATTCATCACTCTCTACCACCATCTAGAAGAGCCTGACTAAGTCTAAGTAAAAAGTGCCAACAGATTTACTTTAGTATACCTAAAGTGCTTATCAATAAACCCAAATCTACACTAAGCTGAACTTTCTATCTATACCTCAGTCAGGGTTCGCATCTCTTCACACCTGTGACCATCATTATTTCACTCAGTTATTTGCAGGATAAAGTTGGCCAACTTCTGGCCAGGCTGCAGACAGCCATCCTCTTTCAAAACAAGCTGTGCTGAGGGGGAAAAAAAATATGAAACAAGCTATTCACAAGTACCTCTCTGCCTGGGGTTATCACTTGTATCTGTGGATAGGCTTAAAAGTATGTGTGAAAGAATTTTTTTCCTGTCAAAATTACCCATGCTATCAAGTATCTAATATTATAACTGCTTTATATAACCCAGCTCCTTTTGACTGAAATAAACTAGGAAGCACTCACAGCCACAGACTAAGTGCAGTATCAGCACATGTCACACAGTGGAGAGGGGCCGATGGCCAGGAACACCCACGAGGCAAAGGCTTCCATAGGACCCCAAAGCCAGGATCAACGGGGGTTGCTACCAGAACGGAGAGCTTACACTTCCACGTGGTTAAAACTCATACAGATCACCAATATGCATGAAAACCACTCCTTCTGCCTCCTATGCATGGAAACATTTTGGCAGATGGACATGTTAGGTTAAAATGAGAATGGGAATGGAGACCAAGAATGCTAAATGCTCAGTCTAGCGTGGATTACATGGGAAATGAATTTATGGTTGCTAAATGATAGGATGATACTAGAGACATGAACAACCAAAATCCAACGAGCCTATCTTCAATCGCCATCATTTTCCTAAACATCAGCATCTTTTCCTCCCTATTTTACTATCAAGAACTGGAGACAGCAGCAATGACAACCAAGAGAGGCAGCTGTCACATTAGCCATTTACCTGCACAGAACTTTTTTGTCAGCAAGTTTAAGAATATGGTACTATTCTTGAACGGGTTTCAGGTTCATGATGTTTTCTTCTCAATCATGTGGACTTAAAACTTTTTTTCTCCCCCTAAATAAAGCACTCGTATTCTACACAGTTGTGTGGACCTTGTACTGTAAGACTTTCTACTCAGCATCACCCAGAGAAGTTTTCAAGCTTGGCTGCTCCCTCCAATGGTATTAAAAGAAATCTAACAACTTTCAAAATTTTTGCAGAAAAATAGTGACTGACACCACTTTCCAGGAGACCTTCTTCTCCAAAATAATGCCGAGAGTCTCTTCTTAGCTTACTGACATGGTATTTCCCCTTGTCTCCCCAAATCAAGGGATAAGACACCTGACAACACTGTCCTCCACGGAGGTAAGCAAAGAGTCTGCTTTTCTTTGAGAGAGGTTTAAGAAAATATCATTGTGAACTAGGTCTTTACTAAATAGGTGTCATGTATTCCCACACCACTACACTGTGAAGTTCATTTACATCACGTGTAGTGTGTATTTTTACAAACACTAACATGAACTCAGTCATCTTATACCAATGTATACAAAGAATGTACACACAGTTGTTATATCTCAGCTAGAACAAAAATATTCCACTGAGAAGGGAGACTGCCCACCAGTCCATATTCTTGTTTTATGTTCCCAGACAGAGAAATCTAGAATGAGAAAGATGATAAAGTATCTAAATATTTTCTTGCCAATAGCAAGTGGAAAGCTTTGTTGAGCTATGACTGTTTTTAATATCTACTTATTGGAGAAAATAAAACTTTGTTGTTACATGATGCTCAAAATAAACTCCAAAAGAGAAAATCCCTCCTCTCCCTGATTACTGAAGTTTTTAATAACACAAGATCACTTAAAACAGTAGGAAATACAGTTTTTTAATGCCAAGGCCTATTTGCAAGCCACGCCAAAAAAAAAAAAAAAAAAAAAAAAGACCTTGTTTCATCATTTTTTAATTTTTGTGGTCTACTCTTTTGACTATTACTTTGTATCTAGCCTTCCTTCTAGTGTCAACTTCACCTCCTTCATATTCTTCACTCATAATCCACAGAATATTATTCTTGCAAATCTTCTTTGGAAACAGTTCAGTGTTATCCAGCTAACTACAAAACAGTTTTTCACTTTCACAAAAGAGAGCTGGAAAAATGGGAAGCCTTAGTAAGAAGTACCATCCCAAGGACTATTAACTAGGGGGACTGCTGATGATCTACATTCTGCATATGTACCCCTTGCTTCACATCCACTTCACATAGTAGAAATTAGACTTTATTTTGTCAAACCCTAAAAATTATAAAGCTCTGATAAATAAAGCTACTTACACACTCTTCAGATTAAGATAAACTAATGTTTCGCAAGGCACGTGCAGTTTTCTTATTTCCCTACTTTTTTCTATTATGGTAGCGCTACAAACTTGTGTCACGATGCACGACCCCGCTGCATGGATGCATGGATTACTGCAATAAACTAGGCAAGAAAAAAAGAAACAAACAAACAAACAGAAAAGCACCACTTAGTCCTGCACAGGAGAGGAGGAGAGAAAAAAAAAAAAAAAA